AAAGTTATACTTGGCTTTGGTGGTATTAGACGGTCATCCCTCAGGTCAGACTGTTAAGTAAAGGAAGTAGAGAGATATGGGTACCTATTATTTTCACTATTTTAAAGTTTCAGTTATACGTACGAAAGTTTGTAAAGATTATGAACAGTTCAGGAGTTTATGGACTGTTAAATAATGGTTTGGATGATTCCTTGGGAATAGAATTCAGCTCTTGTTTTTGACAACAAGGGTCTAAAGGTTATTATTGAACTACCGACAATTTAAGAGGGAACCACTTTGCAATGGTTTATCGTGGATTAACAGAGTTATTAACATTAGAATCATATTTACCAGTATTTTTCATTGAATAGGTCTAGAACGAGCTCATGTTTTGAAATTGGTTTGGTATGAGTTTCATCTCCAAAATATAAAAGGGTTTTGGGTTTCGAATAGAGAATTGTTTAAAAGTCATGGTGTCAGTTGAGTTGTAGAGTGATTAATCATCAATCTCAAACTAATAATCAAACTAATAAATCCCCCAATGTTTTAGCTCATTTTACAAAGTCATAAATATTAAAACAATTAAATTTTATAGTGCTCAATTTGTAAATGACCTGTTGATCTTTGCTTTGGGAAGTTGGTCATGGACTGGCAGCTTAGCGGGGGCAAGGGAATGCACGGGCTATAGGGCTTTTGTGCACACCAGATCACTAGCTCGGTAGATTTTGGAAAACTAGAAGGACTGAATACTAAATTGGTTTTTGATCGAGGAGGCTGAGGCATGTTTTTTGAGAGGGACAGTATAATAGCTTGTGGTTACAATGGCTTTACTTTAATAGGATGGCAAGTTTTAGTTTTAGGACAGGAAGAAGCAGTAAGAAGATTTGTCTTTGTTTACAAGGCAGAATATAAGGCAATGTTAGGTTATATTATATGTATCTATATCTAGATCTTCGTTTATCAATTTTCACTTTCATGGGTTTAATATTTTTAATAGGGAGGGAAATTTTTCATTTGTTTCGCAAAAAAACTTTATTAGTACCTATCAAAAATAAATCTTATATCAATGTAATAGATTAAAAAATATAATCCTAAGTCTAATATTAAATCTGGTATGTTTAAAAACCACTTCTCACTATCACTGCGCTCCCACCACACGTTAGTAAGACAAAGGTAAATGCAACACCCAGTAATTTTCAATTTCAAAGATATCTTTTTGGTGTGGGACCCTAGGGTAGAATTAATGTCAAAAATTTAGATTAGAGCATTCGAAAATCTTTGTTTGTCAATCAAGATCAGCATGGTTATGCTGGTTGCGGCAGTGATTGCTTAATCCTATACTTCAGGCAGGCCACTTAGACAGTAGTCACGTATACAAGCTTTGGCTCAATTACGTTCCAAATACGAGTCGTTTGCTGCTATTGAATAAGTTGTTCAGGGGGGTCTGCTTGCTTAGTATAAAGGGTGGGGTTGTTTCCTACTTGAGCAGTGTGAATTGATTTTCATGGAGGGGAAATCGGAGCACGAATTTCATGATTTTATTTGGTGCTCAAGGAACAATGGTAAGTGTACAAGGTTTGGACGGCAAGTTTCCGTGTTCCTTGAACAAAGGTTTCGTGTGCTATTTCAAGAAAATTTTTTTGTTCAGATTTTGGTTGCACACGGCTCGAGCACGAGCACAGGTCTTAAATTTATCTAGGTATGCCCCCGTCGCCAAACAGTACCCAGAGAACCATTTTTTTGTGCTTTGAATACAGAAACTTATTCGAGTTTTGGGCTGCCCACCCCAAACCGTGATTCCAATAGTGAGGTGTGATTTCAATAGAGTGTAATACAAACTTGGCGGTGTAAGAAATCGGGGAGGGTGGCGTGCAAGTAGAGGGCGGCAGAGAGTTGATGTTGCATGATGAAGAGAACGCCTAAGTGATTTTATATGTTCTTCCCAGGATTAAGCTTTTCATCGATGACGACTCCAGAAACTTAGCAGAGTGCAACTTGTTTTATTGGAAAGTATCAATGGTTTAGAGTATATTCCGAAATATTGTCAGTCTGGGCGGTACGATGCTGGTTTAAAGTGAATGAAAAACAGCTTTTTAGACAAGTGTGGACATGGAGTTTGTTTGTCGCATGTAGGGAATATGAATAGCTAAAAGAGAATTACCAAGCCAAATATGCCTCCTTTGTAGATTTCCAGTCACAATTATTTGGTGTCATCAGCGAAAAAGGGTTGGACAAATTGATCCCAAAAACTGAGCTGTTGGCGATCTCATTAATATTATAGGGAGAAATAAAGAGTCCAGAATCGACCCTGAGGGGACTTCCAAACAGTATTTTCAATGCAGTCAGATTTCTCCCAAAACAACTTCGTATATGTGAGCTTTTTGTTAAGTAACTTTTTATAAGATCATTTGCCACCCAGTATCCATAGCCTTGAATTTGACTCAAGTTACTGTACATGAACTATTGTATCAAAAGCTTGCTAAGGTCTATGAATATGCCTAAGACTTGGATGCTTAAGTTTTTAGAGATTTCTGTTATAGGTTTACTGAGTGATTAACTGCATGTGAAGTAGAGTGTGACTGCTGAAGCCAATTTGTGTTTTAGATATTATACCCTGTGAGTTAGCAAACGAAATATATTCTTGAGTAAATGATCTTTTCAAGATTTTACCAAATATAGAGAGAGTAAGAGATTGGGCGGTAGTTTTCTTTCTCTTCAGGGTTTCCCTTCTTAAAATACAGCGAGTTATTCTACCAGTCTTATTAAAAGTCGGGGAACGTGCCCAATTACGAAATTAGATGTTGATGTATCGATAAGGATCGGTGAATTACGTGAGATGGATTTTTGAGTACACTAACAGGAATATCACTTGCTTTTCCATTTTCACATCCTTTTATTATTGCCGTTATCTTATAAGGTGATACAGTCTTTCTAACATAATCGAATTTTCATTATGTCTTTCCAACGGAAATCATAGAATGTTTTTATAGGGAGAATTGGTGTAAACCAGTGGCCTCATGCTACTAAGTGTTTCAATTGAGCTTAGGGGCAAATAGAAACAAGTAAGAGTTGAATCCATAGGATATTGTCTCTACGATTCATGATTCCTTCGTTGTTTATGTTAATGGGAGGCTTGTTTGCTATCTTTTTTCTTGCCTGAGCTCCATTGATTATCTGCCACGTTTTTTTTTGTTTTGTTTTCTTATTTTTTTTGGATTTCATTGCGTAGTACTAATCGTTTGGGGCGACCTTGATAATAATTTAAGCATTATTCGGTAGTCATGAAGCTTTTTTGAGCATAGATACATTTACCCTCAGGTTTCTATTTGTTACAGTGCATGAACCAGTCTCTTCAGAGTTCATGTTTTTTCAATGAGACAATGATTCATCGGTATTCACGGGTTGAGTTTGGGAAGTCCTTTTGGTGGTAACTTTTGGTCCATCAAGTTACAGTGTTTACAAGTGTTTATTGAAGCAGTCCTAGAACTAATTGAAGTTTACGAGGGAGTTAAGTCATTCACATACTGAGTTCATTACAAATTCTAGTGAGTTTGGAACTTGAATAATCATAGTAGCGAACATGGTTTCAGTTTTTTCAGTACTGTTTTTCGGTAGGAATTGACGTGAAGGTGAATTAAGGCAATGGTCACCTATCTATCATTCAATACACGGAGAGAAGACATGAATCTATCTCTGCTGTGAGGAAATTGTCAATCATGGTTTTACAGTAGGACGGAAGTGGGTAGCAAGTGATATAGTAGGTTACAATATTGGTTCGAAGTAAGTGTCCTCAATATAACTGGCTGGTGGTTTGTACCTTGAGGAGGTTAGAGTTAAAATCGCCAAGAATATGGAACTTTTTACCAGCCATGCTTAGATTATCCTCAAGAGTTTGACAAAAGGTATCACTTACAGCATATTGGAGGACGATAAGGCAACCATTGTCAGTTATCACCCGGCTAAGAGTATGTCAACAATTATAGCACTCAATTATCTTTGTACAGTGTGATAGATTTTCGATTACTACTGCATTAAGGTCGATTCAGAGGAATATCAGGATACTACTGTTCTTTTTTTTATCGGGGAATGGTTACTTGACAAAATGTTGTATAGAGAGGGGATTGGTATAAGCCTTGTTGGCTTGGAATAGATTTCGGTTCTCAGCCTATCCAATGCATCAAAAAATTACACGGGAGGGTCTTAAGTTCTATTAAAAAGCTGTCAAAATTATAGCATAACCATCTAATTGCCAAAACAGAGGGGCAGATAAGCAGATTTGTTTTTTCTAAGGAAAAAGTTTGCTGATTGAGTTTGCTAGTTTTGTTTTTGTGTAAACGCTTACAGTCTTCAAGTATATACGAGAATTTAAGCTTCCATCTTGGTGACCTCTTCTGGTTGTTTGTATCATAGTATTTATCTGAATATCATATCTTGGCTGATTGGAAAAATGGGCAATACTATTTTCGTGTGTACTACAGCAATCACCAACATCCATAGACCGATTTTTGCTTGTAAATTTTTCGCGGGATCTGAAGCACTATTGTATGAACAAACTTTGCTGCAATTTTCACCATTCTAAGAGTGTGCTGGCCAATTATTAATGTATTTACTACAGGGGGTCGCAACACATCTTTATAAGTGTCATAATCATGATAAACTAAGCTGGGATAAACTCCACTGGGTCGGGGTGGCTTCCTTAGGTCTTACTCTCTCCTGTCTCTCCTCACATACACCCACTGTTTCAGACATCTCAAAATTTAGAATTCAAAGCTCTCCGAGATGGATTTCATTCATTTCTCGTCGAAGTTTCTAGCCGCAACCCTTTACCGTCTAATAATGTGGCCAACACAAGGTGCCATACATTTGGTAAAGCTAGGTAAAACATTTCATCAACCAGCTGTTGAATGCCATAATGTTTTTATTCATCTTTGGAGTCTAGGCACGGTAAAACTGCTGTGACCATACAACTTCGCCTTAGGGTACAGTTTTCTGGATCTGCTGGATTTTTAGGTGGAGATGTCTTACCAGCTGGGTATATCACCAGGTGCCTGCACATTTTCAACTGTTAGATCGTTGGTTTCACACAAACTAAGATGACGTTTGCATAACCATGCAGAGCTTGGGTCTATTGCACTTTTAGTAATAAGTATATAATTCTCTGCATTTTGGAAGGCTTCTTCAACCTTGAACCTTTGCACTGTTGGTTGTAAACTAGTACACTAGCGTACTGGTTTAAATCATAGGGGTTTCTATGGGGCTCTCTCTGGGTTGGAGACTGCTTATATGACTGCTTATAGGACAAATTTTAAAGTTCCTAGCTTAAAGCGTTTTCACTTTATGGTGACAAAAGCGAAAAAGAGAAAGTGGCGTGATACACCCACTGTAATTAATTAAATTTGACGAAACTTTCAGGAAATTTAAGTTTGACCCATATTTATAATCTCTAAAATTGCTATGCAATGCCAATTCTAAGAAGAATTACGTGAGTTATTAAAGGGTTGCGTGTGGGCAGTTACTTTTGGGCCACCCTGTATTATCCCGATAATTGCAATTTTTCTCGAAGGTACTGTCTACGACCCAAAATCTGACGAAAAGTTTAGTCCTTATCATTGGGTTAAATATGTTTCAAATCGGTAAATAAGTTTATAGATACTCAACCTGCGCAGTTTCTTTCGTCTGACCCATCATTACAATTTTCGTATGCATCACATACATCTCTAGCGCGGATACATTGCATCCTGTCCGCGCACTTCACCCTTCGATACATGGTTGTTCCTGCATCACACACTCTCTCTGAAGAGTGGTTGATTATTATTGATTATTGGATGCTATATCATAATTACAGAATAATATACTTTCGTGAATTATGAGGGCTTCTATTTTGGTCAGGAAGTCAACACCCCTATCAGTTGGTATAATGATGGGAATAATGAAAAGTTAAATGTAGCAAGGGAGATCAGTCAGCACTCTCACACCACATCTATGAAACGCATGTTGAATATTTTTATCACTATAAACTGGAAGACGTTCGATTTGGTGTAGTTAAGAAGACGTACTTACGTAAACTTAATGAAGTAGAATATTATCCAGATAATTGCAATTTTTTTCGAAGGTACTGTCTACATCCCAAAATTTGACGGAAATTTATTCCGCTATCATTCGGTTACATATATTTGAAATTGGTAAATAAGTTTATAGATACTCAACCTGCGCAGTTGCTTTCGTCTGATCCATCAGCACAATGAACGTCACCATCACATACCTTCCAAGCGTTGATACATTGCTGACCGTCCCAGCACAACGCATATCCTGTTGGACACACTTTCTCTGGCTCTGGAGAGTAGTTGATTATTATTGATTATTGGATGCTATATCACAATTACAGAATAATATACTTTCGTGAATTATGAGGGCTTCTATTTTGGTCAGGAAGTCAACACCCCTATCAGTTGGTATAATGATGGGAATAATGAAAAGTTAAATTTAGCAAGGGAGATCAGTCAGCACTCTCACACCACATCTATGAAACGCATGTTGAATGTTTTGATTACTATAAACTGGAAGACGTTCGATTTGGTGTAGCTAAGCACAATGTCCAGTAATGTTGCTATCTAGGGAATTTCTACAAGTTCAGCTACGAAGTTGGAACAGGCATAATTCGTATCATTGTCGACTTAGGAATGAAAGACTGAGTTTATGGCTCTGAAAGTTCCATAATCTGATTAAAGTTCAATGTGGAATCCAAGGAAGACCTTTTTTCTATATATTCTCATATTGTGTGTAAATTTTGTGTGGAGCATTATGATTCATTCATTTAACTGCCGATTTAGGGATGAAGTCAAGTGTGTTTGGGAGTCTGAAAGTGTCAAACTCGGTTTTTGCGCAGTGAATACCGCGCTTCAGCTCAACCCGCAAACTACATGCAGGAATTTTCCAACATCGTAGAGACTTAAAACTTTGACCAAAGTTAACCTTTACCTAATGCTTATATTGAAATAACATACATTTAGAACTCCTTCTATACTCCTTCGTGACTTAATTTTCGATGTAAAGAATTTTATCTGTTAAAAATTGGTGAAAAATATGGGCGTGGCTGGAGGACCACTAAAATGGTAGAGTTGGAACATATTATGTTTTAAATTGGTAAATAAGTTTATAGATACTCAACCTGGGCAGTTTCTTTCATCTGACCCATCTTTACAATTCGTCTGACCATTACATAAATAAACATTATCTAAACATAGCTGACCATCTGAGCAACCAAATTTTCCTTCTGGACATTTTCTACTCACAACTATCAGGGTGGGTTCTGGTTTATGATAGTTGAAATGCCCGAATCCGGTCAGATCAGCAGCCCTATGCAACTATGAAAGGTCCAAAGACACAAGAAAAGGTGACTGTTTGGATGTTATCATGGGGTCTCCGAACCCCATTTTGTCCAGAATGAAGATGAGAAGGCAGAAACGATAAGGATGTCAAATAACATCGCTATGTTGTGTGGAAACGTTATCCCAGTCCTAAAAAGAAAGAAAATGCTTCATTCTTGTATTTTCCAACAAGACGCCCCCCCCCCCCCCCCCGCCTCACTACTTTCGTGAAAGTTTAGCTCGACTGAAGGAGCATTTTTGATAGACTGATCTAAAAGAAAGCGGACTTCAGCTGGCTTCCTTACAGTCCCGATCTGAATCCGACTGATCTATTTTCGTGGACCTATTTTTTTAAATCGTGTTTATTCATATCCAGTCCCAAAAACAGAAGAAGAGCGAAAAATAACATTAGAAAGAAGGCTTAAAGGCTAAACCATGATAATATGATAAAACCTGCAATAGGCGATATGCCTCCGAGATTTTATGCATGAATGAGGCTTGGTTTGAAAAGTTTCTGAAAGATTCGGGTCATTTTTGACATTTGTTTCGAAATGTAATAATTCATTTTCAACAATCGACTGTTTGTGTAATTCGTTTATAAGTTTATAGATTCTGAGAGCCATTCAAAGTTTGGTCACGAGTTTTGAAACACCTTTGATAATGATATTTTTATATTTGTATTAATAATCTCAATAAATCCGTGTACCTGTATGTGTGAGGGTATTTTACGAACAGCTTAATTAAGAAAGCTGTAGTGCCAAAAAAACTCTGACGAAGCCCAAGAGCCTAAGTTTTTAAAAATCGGCCAGTAGTAAGTGGTTTAATTGATGATTTTGTGACCTAAATAAGTGTCTCACGTTCTTTCCCTCTCTCCTATACTCTCACCCTTCTCTCCCCCATAACAGATTTACTATATAATTAGTTAATTTGGAAGTTGACTGCAAGATTGCATATCAAGTATTTTTATTAGATACGTGAGGGGCCCTCAGAATTGAATTAAAGTATGCTTAGACTGAGCGATTTCATATTTGTACCGTTTTAAGTGCGACAGTGTAATGCGTGTTTTCGAATAAGCGGGATTATACTTTTGTATTTCAACTGTAATAGTGAAGTCCCGGCCCTAGGCCTGGGTTACACTAGTAATTATGTAATATACAAATTCATAAGGTCGTCATAATAAGTATAGGCACCCAATATTCTACCCCAAATACTCGAGGTACCTTAAAATTTGGCTAGATGCATAACAATTATTCTCACCTGGGCAGGCCTCAGTGTTGCAAGTCCTCGACTCCTCATCTTCCCCCTCGCATTCTTGTCCTCCGTTCGCTGGACTTGGGTTTGTACAGGTCTTACTCCTGCTTTGAGAACCTCCTCCACATTCAGCAGAACAGACTGACCACTCTCCAAATTCACTCCATCCACCGTCAACTGTTAACATATCCTTGTTTGTGAATTCAGAAACATAACATATGTACAGAAATCTGAAATACCCGATATTTTTGCACTTCGCAAAAAATTTAAGAATATGGTGCACAAAATAATGAGACTCAGTGTTGAGGATGACTCTGATGATGCTCCTATCTCCAAGAAATTCTAGACCTACATTAAATCTAAATCAAAGTCAACCAGAATCCCTGAAACTGTCAAATATCATAATCACTTTCAATGAAACAATCCATTTGATCAAGCTGCCCTTTTTAACGAATATTTTTATGAGCAGTTTTCTCAAGAGAGCGATTATGGCATTGACATGGATTTTCGTGATGATTGTTTCTCAAGTCTTGTGTTTAGAAGAGAAGATGTTCTGTTGATTCTTTAAAAGTTAAATCCTAACAAGGCCCCTGGCCCTGATGGGATTCATGGGAAAGTTCTCAAAAACTGTGCCCAAAGCCTTGCATATACCCACTTAGTGTTTTATTTAACTTGTCATTCTCGACCGGATGTATACCCCCTGATTGGAAGCTGGCACTTGTAGTACCAGTACACAAAAATGGCGAGAAATACAGGCCTATCTCGTTAACATATCTTGTAATGAAAGTCTTTGAAAGGTGTGTAAAAACTGCATTATACTCAGCATGTTGTGATCTGTTAGATGACCGAGAACACGGTTTTGTTAATGAACGTTCCTGCACCACCCAAATGATACCTTTCACGGACAATCTTGCACTTACACTGAACAACAGGTCCAGGATTGATATAATATATTTTGATTTTGCGAAAGCTTTTGATAGCGTTTTGCATGACCTTATTTTAAGTAAATTAAAGAACATTTTTAATGTCGATGGACTAATGCTTAAATTCATCAAGTCCTATCTTGAGGGGCGACAGTAACAAGTAGTGGTAGGAGGGCAAACGTCTTCCTCTCCACCAGTTCTATACTTGGCCCCCTATTATTTGTAATATTTATAAATGATATGTGTCTCTGAAGGCACTAATATCGCCTTTTATACAGATGACACTAAAATCTGGAGGGAGATTTTTGGTTACCTTGACCATCACATAATCCAAAATAACATCAATAGATTGTATGATTGGTCTGTGAGAAATTGAATGAAGTTCCTGCACCCACAAAAGTGCAAAGCCCTTTCTGTGTCCTTGCAAAGAAACGTGCTGGATAACTTGCCATTCAATACTTTCTTCTATAAACCTTCTGGAAGTGATATAGTAGAGGCTCTTACGGGCAAAAAGACGTGTTTTCTGCTATGAGTTTGGAGACCTAACCATTAATTGGACACAATAGTATGATGTGTAAGGATCAATTAAGAAATATAAATATGACCTTAGTGGTCACGTGCCATACCAATGCGCGTTTTAAACTTTGACATCTATTACTCTTAGGCCAATGAAGTGATACTAATTATATTTTATATTTTGTGTGAAAATATGAGCTAGAACAAACGTAATCTCACTGAGGTATGGCTGTTTGAAATTTATGATGAAGGGGGTGCCCATTGATAACAACTAAATGCTTTTGCTTGTAGTGCGCGTCGAAAATGTGGCAAAAACGCTTGCGGAGTGAAAATTTTCAAACTTTGATAAATTACATCAAAACCACCCCAAAAGACCTCATTCCAAACTACACAAAAAACTTGTATATGACCTATTGGAATCTACATTAGTTAAAGTATGTATTTCTCTGATGATTCCAATACCAGGATTCCCGGACCTAAATGAAGGCATAATATACGTTCACAAAGAAGTTTCGAACTTTGTATCGCATTTAAGAAGGCAAGGAAACTTTGCAAACAGAATATACAGCTCTTGTAACGAACGTCTGGGAGGTCTCATTACAAGAGTAACCAACTCCCAAAATAGAGACCTTTCTATTAACGAGAACAGAAAGAGGATACTCTGGTTGAGGCTCAAAGATTGCTTTTATAGATGCCTTGACCTACCGAACCCTAGCTCAATCTCAAAGGAACGGACTTTAAATGAATAAAACACACAGATTGCCTCCTGTAGCACAAAAGGTCAATCTGCTCGAAAACCTCCCAATTTTATTATTGAACATCCACAACTCGGTTATGAGCAAAGAAGTATATTCTACTATATGAAGTTGGATTGGAAATCAGGATCATATCATTATGTACATGGATTTATCAAAAATGCTAGAAATAAAAGACGTTTGAGGGTACGAAAGGGGTTTAGTCTTACCAACTTTACAGAACTTTTTGGTTTCACCATCGTCCAGACTTATATAGTTGGCATCCCAGCCTTGAGGAACAATAGTGTGTGTCTCTATACCGTCTATTTGCACCGACACCTGGTTGATTTCAGTTAAATCTAGCAAAACCACTGATAAGCTTAGCTTGAAGCCGAGAAAGACATTGTGGCATTATTTTGCAGATAAAGTGTGCACCTTGAGCAAAAGATTGCTAAAGTGATAACTCAAATCCCAGCTATTATATTTGCAAGTAATTATTGAACTACTACCTTTTTTAGATCAAGTCCATCTCTTCCTCCAGTCCTCAGAAATACACATCTGTAATCCCCGATGTCAATATCACTCTCAAAAACACACACAACATCTTGGTTGATTACATTGAAGTTTGCATCACACCGATGGTAAGCTGTCTCTCCATTTGATCCTTGAATGTAAACAGACTGAGGGTCTCTACTTCTTGCCCACTTGTGATTCAATATAGAGTAAGTAATCTTGTACTGAACCGCTGAAATAACAGTTTTTTAAAGTATTTGGACTGGTCAATATGTTTATATCAGATCGAAATATTCCACTTTACTGGGTGATAATGATACTGATAGTGTTATCCAGAACGCTGATTCTAATCCGTTATGGAGTTGAATGTGTACCACAACCTAGTACCCCGCCTAAACGTTCGGAACTCCCGGACCTATGTGGCAAGCCTGCTCCCTGAACAAAAAACAAAAAATATATGTCGAGGCTAACCTAATTACCAACACTATTATTACCACCGCTACATAATATACAGTATTGAGAGAGCGAGGAGTAAAAAAATTTGAGCCTATTTTGCGCAAATTTCTTCAAGACCTCCACATAACTATTTTTTATTCCTGTCATCTTTGACATTGAATTAGAATTGTTTGAACTTAAAATAAACCTGCTGAACGATTTCTGATGAATTTATAATGCCAACTTGAATGAGTATAAAGTGGCATATTCAGTCAGTGATCCACAGATATGCTTACCTAAACACAAGGAAATGTTTTCAAATAAAATTCCGAAATTGTTGAAATAATCTCCTTATTAATTAAGTTATGAGTTTACATTTCGACTTTGTAAAGTACCCTGACATTATAGGCAAAAAGAGATGATATTTGACCAAACCCCATAATCATGGGTAGAGTGGACTGCTGCCAGTGTCTCTCTTTCTCAAACAAAAGGAAATGACATTAATTTGGGAAAAGCGAGCGACCGATTTCATTCTCGGTATCATTTTGCATTTGCGGACGGTTATTCAAATTACTATCATTTCCTTTTGTTTAAGAAAGAGAGACACTGGCAGCGGTCCACTCTACCCATGATATTGGTTATGGGTTTTAGTCGAATACTTATATTCATTATATGAAGACGTTTATGTCGGTCAAACGTAGTTAGATATATGATTGCGTTTCATTCACATTGTATTTTGTATTATGAAATGGTGGAAGCTATAATAGCTGTGAGATGTTATTTCAAAATCTCAGTTTTTAGGGTAAAATTTACAAGTAAGTTAATCAATACTCAACCTGTGCAATTTTCTTCGTCTGAGTTATCATCACAATCTTTATATGCGTCACAAACATACGATTCCCATATACATTGCTCTTGATTCGCGCACTTTACCTTTCCTGCGTCACAATCTGCAAAGGAATAATATTCTGTGGTAGTATGTTTTTATCGCATCAAAATTCAAAATATAGTATCACAATTGTAAATGAATGGGAAAAGCGAGCGACCGATTTTATTCTCAGTATTATTTTGCATTTGCAGACGGTCATTTAGTTCGGTCACGGGCCCTAGTTTGTTCGTCAACAAACAGATGTCTTGAAATAAAGTTTCACAAAAATCATTGAGAAACGTTATTGGTCCGGTATTTAAATGGTTTAATTGCCGGAGTAAGTCGGTCTGCAGGCAACCGTTATTATTATAGATTTCAGTATTGGAGCGGGTCAATTGTTTGTTACTAGACTTATTTCTTTATTTGAAAACTATGACAGGTGACAGATCAGTGGTCTGGGATGAGATCACATCATCTAATCATTGAGTTAAGTACCTAACTGACGAAGAAAAAAGAACATTTGAAATGCGCAGATCGGTATAAAGCAAAATATTAAACTTTAGTGAAAGATTATAAAAGTTAAAATCAACATTGCATTGAACATGCATTATTCGGTAATTTTCCTACCTCTTCCAAGAACTGCACTGACTGCCAAAAGCATCAAAGCAGTGACAACAACGATTTTCAGAGACATGTTCATTCTCTATTCTGTTATTCTAGAAAGTGGAATATTGTAAAAAGGGTAAAAAACGAATTTCAAAGTGGAAGCTTCGTGCCGCAATAAAAATTGAATAAATCGTTTAAAACGCGGTTATTGATATTCTGATAATTTTTAATAATTATTTTATAAAAATGGAACCAGCCATCCTAAATGGAAATGATTAAAAGCCTTATAATAACAGTTCGGTCTTCGGAAAAGTTGAACAAATTAAATTCTTTGTCATAATCATTATATTTGAAAACATTTCAAAGCTACCCAAATGTATTACTCAACAGATTTTCCTGAAGAAAATGTCCAACTCAAGATCAAAACCCTATTTTAATTGAACCCATTATAATAACAAACCACTATACTAGCCCGTAGTATATAGTAGTACCAGCCAATGTATACTAAAAATATATACAAACAAAAAATTGTTAAGATAGTAAACAAGTTTTTGTAAGTGAGTAGCCTCTGGTTATAGTAGTACCGTGTGAAATTCTCGACAAAAGTGAGTTACTAAATTAATGCCCACGAGGCTCAAAGTCCCTGGAGCAGAACTGAATGTTATCCTCTTTAAAGCATGGAGCAGCTCTTTAAAGAGGATAACTGAACTCATCGTGTCTCAACAATCGAACTCTACCTTGTTTTATTTTGTTCCAAAAATATCGTATTGTTTAATCTGAAGGTGCTGTTTAATCTTAAATGCCCGGGCCACAGTTGTGAGGTTTTTAGAACAAATATAACCGGAGCAGTGCAGCTGACGAGAGACTGACTAAGGGGGACCCCAATTATTAAGGGTCAGATCATATCACCCCTAATCAAGTTGAACAAGTAGGATAAGGAATAAGTTCAACATATTGTGTTGAGTCCTACTGAACTGAATTTAACTTTGGTTACGCACGCTTAAGTAGTTCAAGTTGTGGAGATTTAATAAAGTCCGTTATCTAATCTGGTTACGGTGGCGGTATCTGGAAATTACCTGGGAACCCCTGCATGGCATGGCAGGGTATAATGTTCATAAACATATATTCCACCGAATAGAGATTCCATGAAACTGAGCGCCGCCTAATAATCTGGAAATTGATAAGAAAGGTCATTGCAGTTGAAGTATGAAGATTAAATTAGTGAGGAAACAAACCAATTTTTTTGAGATTAGAAATTGCCGTTTGGAGCACAATTTTCTCAAACAGTAACGGACTATAACACGTACAGAAACACAAGACACAGAAAAAAAACCCTAAAGAAAGTCCACCTATCACTCATGAAGTGGGCCACGAATGCTGACATGTAACAAATGTGACATGTACCAGTAACATGTAACAAATCAACTTTCAATCCCTCAAAAATCAGCGAGGCTAAAAGTGAAAACTTTTTTTGTTCAACAATGGAACAAAAAGCGAGAACTCAACAGAAAATTGAGATTTTACAAACTCATCAAGGCAAGCTTCGGTTGCAAAACATATTTGTCGATCGATCTACGGACACAGAGCAGACTATAAAAAAACTTGCACAACTCAGAACAATCTCACAATGAGGGAAAGTGTGCAATACATGAAGCTCATCTCTGATGATAGGATCCAGGAATGGAAGTTCCAGAATTGATGAAGGTCTAGACTATTATTATAGTGACTCTTCATTTTCTGTAGATGATAGAAATATAATATGAAATTGACTGAAATTAAAAAGTTTTTCTATATGCATGGAAAAAATTAAGCTCGCAGTGGAAAAAATCAACGGACATCAAGTTTAGCTAAGTCGAATGTAAGGAACCTCGAAATTCTCTCTAATTCCGATATTCCTTTTAAAAGATAGTTAAATGATTTAGATTTATAGTTAACACATTTCCATTGAAGACAGTAATGAACAATTCCAGTCATTTTGAGCTTGAATAATTTTATGTTTAAGATAGGTATCGTTAAGTTTAGAAGATCATTGAAATAAGATGTGTATTTAAATTAGAGAAGAGATTACGTTTGATTAACAAAATGAAGCGTTTTGTGTTTAACTAATAGACAATTCGACACGGTTGATGACATTCCATGGAGGTGTACAATCAGAACACCACAGAAGATCACCTGATAGCAGACTAGCCTATCGCAGTTTCAGACGAAGATCTATGAATTGTGAGAATGGATGATTAGCAGAGCATAGCAGAGTTTAAACCGTGATGAGCAATAACGATCTTGATGAACAATTACTGATTTTGATGAACCAGACTGATAGACTCTGGGAAAGTCGGAGGGAGTTAAGAGGGAGAGAGATCGGAGATCCGATGTCTTTCTCGGGTCAGTGCAGTCTTATAAGTTTGTTTCAGAGCAGTGCTTATAACAGAGTCCAGTATGCCGGTTCCATCCGGATGCTTTAATCTTTCCAGTCATAAGTATTCCAGTAAGTTCCTTGCCTTGATTTAATGTGAGCCTTTCATATTAGTATTTTGTTTCGTATAAAATAGTTTGACGTGATTTTTATATCTATATTGTTTATAGTGTCTATTCCCGTTTCCAATATCCACTTAAATTCTATACGACACACTGAAGGTTAATTCTATTCAGGTTGCTCTGAACCGACACATCGTGTAGTTTACCGGGCAAGTCTTCCATTCCATAATCTAAAGAACCGTGACTAAGTTTCCGGGTAGAAGTAAGCTAACGACGATAAGATTCCCGATCTCCCTCTCACTTGAAGGACCATTATACGGATTGAAGTTGTTCTTGAGGTAAAATCCTTTTCCATTAGTTTTTACATATGAAGTAGGTTTAAGAATATAGTTGGTAATTGTAGTTTCGTGCTCTCAAAATTATATACTTTGTACAAACTTCCGTTTCCGTTCCCAGGTCAATAGACCCGAATCTTCCTACTCAGAACGTGCTGCCTTTGCCGATACCTGCTAGATTAATTGATTCTCCGTCATCAACCGAGGTAATTAGTTCAGTTATAACGTCCGCATAAAATAAGTAGTTGTCTTAAATAGTAAATTTATTAAGTATTATATTATTGTTTATCGAGTAAGAGAGTATAGACTTACTATTAATACAGAATATGATAATAATAACGTGACCTAGTCAGATACTTCTAACGAAGACTTTCAGTCCTGTGTGTAGAAAGTACCGTGACTTATCTACAGTAATTAAGTAAACTTCACCTTTACCTTTATGATTGACCTTTAACTTCTCTTCTATTACTTGATGGCAGCAGCTCACCGTGCATGAGCCTAATTTCCATATGTACAGTAATGTATGTGTCGAATGTTCAGAGTCAAATGTACAGAGTCAAATGTACAGATCAGTCAAATGTACAGAGTCAGATGTACAGTAATGTGTGATGTATGTATAATGAGTACTGTGTAAATATCTGTGTAGATATCGTGTAAATATTGCGTCGTCGTTGTCTGAGTACGGCATGAGGTTAGGAATTAGATAATATGAAATTGTTATGATGTAGGGACGTGGACTATTATCAAGCAGGGTTTATTTCGCGTTTTGCTGATAAGGTGTGATAGATAAGGTGAGAAGGTAGGGAATCTGGATAAGGGAAAAGTTCATTTAAGTAGTTGATTGTATTATGTGCTTTGTGCTTGAGTTTGAATTTGATTTAAGTTTCTAATTTTGATTTGAAATGACGGAAAATTTGGTAATATAGTAATAGTTTGTTCAAATAAGTTACGTTTGTTTGATTAATGAAATTGTTTGCGACTCAGCGCGAGTCTGGAAAGTTGTTCAGGATTCGATATTTTTGTCATGATAATTTGACATTAAGATATAAAATACGTCGTGCTCAGGTGCCAAAGTGGCCAGAGATTGGATAAGATATCATACGTTTAAAGTGCTCACGTAGAGGTAGGGGTCCACGCCTGAACCCCAGTCCAATGAGCACACAGTTTACCCAGCAATCTGATAATACACTCTGTCCAATATAGTTAAGATGTAGACCGTCACGAGCGAGGTGAGCGAGACTAAAACTTGAGTTGTCGAAGAGTCTGAAGTTGTCATGGTGAAGGGAGCACTTAAACATGAGTTCATTAAGGTACTGGATAATGTCGTTGTGGGTGTTGAATCGGTCAGCATGTATCGATAGTGGACTGACTGCATCGAATAAGAACATAGTGCGCGGGAACTGTTCTATGAAACTTCTGATGTGATTATGCAGCAGGACGGCACTCGCTCTGTTTTTCTGGATATCGTTTATGCCAGCACTTATGAGTACAATGTCGGCTTGCTGAATCGATTCCCGGTGTTCCTTTAAGTCGCGGAGGAAAAATAAGTTTTCCCGGAACGCTATGACAGGTGAACGAAATTGAGAACAGTCAAAATTACAGTTTTTGCTGTCAGACAGTATCAGCACTCGTTTGGTCTGGTTCACTTTATGATGGGGTAGAGGTCGCAACTGATGGCTGCTAGATTTTCTGGAATGTGCCGAGGCCAACTGTCTAAAGGTTAAGCTGATTCGAGGACCTTCAAAATCCGCCTGAGTTTGCGGAGGAACAGCATGGTCAAAAAGGTCCTGCGATTTTCGCGTCATAGTGTAACAGTCGCCGTGTTGAACTGTCACGGTTTCATCGCGATACTCGCCTGGAGGACGTCTACGAAAAACTAAATCCCTTTTACCCCCCAGGGAAATGGTAAGTATAGTGCTGTCGGGTACTATACACGATTCATCATCGGAATGAGGAGGTATACACGAGACGTGTGATTCATATTTGGTGATCATGCAGCTATTGAAATCCTTATAGTTGATGTTGTTGGTCTTGCACACATCATCAACTGCTACAAGTATTTCAGCAAGGTACGTCTCAGGGTCTAATTGCTTTGCCCTGTGGTACCCTCCTAAATACTTGTAAGGAGCATCGCCAAAATATGCAACCTTTCTATTCGAGAAAACTTTATCATAGGTTAATTCAGAGTCCAATCTCTTAAAGTCAAACCTCTTCAGCTGGTCACCAGTTTCGAGCTTGGAGAAGGGCTGTTCCACAGTCTGGACCGGTGTTGGTGGTGCAGGTATTTCGGGGAGGGTGGTTGTAGGTTGAGTAGGAGGGTGAGCAGAATGGTCACGTAGAGACTGGACAAGGGACTGTGCTTCACTAACGGTGTTCTGGAGGCCGGTCATCGCATCAGTGGACGATCTCGAAAAAATTTGAGTTAGAGAGATAAGTTTGTCAGTAGTTTCGGTTAATGTAGAGGTACACTTATGACTGTCAAGAATGTGTGCACGTAGCATTTTCTGCTTGGATTGCTTGCATAACTGAAGGTCATCTTCAGTCGCTCCAAAGAGCAGCAATTCACGGTCGAGTTGAGGTACAATGAGTTTATCGACCAATTCCAAACAGGTTGCAGTTGAGAAACAAAACGGGCGTTCCGTCGATTCAGTCATGTAGAAAGGTAAACTTACGCTTCAAGGAGGGCTACGGTGGACTTATGTGGAAGGAGGGGCCCAATTAAATTGGGGCCACCGAGCCTAGGGGTCTCTGTTATCTGTAGTGTTGTAGTCAGTGTGCGTAGTATTTGCGTTTAAGCCACGTCACGATGAGCTGCTGCACTGTCGGCTTATCTATTTAGCAGCAAGACTAGATAACAACATAATGTAGGACGTGTGCAGGTTTAAAGTAGTTTCCCGTTGGTTACGTAATAAATTGTTTCTATTGCCATAGTTAAAAGATATTGCTTTCAGACCATTCGTGACAGTCAAACTGTTGACGGTGAGACTCAGTCAAAGACGCGTGATATTCCAGCCCTCCTACACTATTTCTTAGAGAGAGACATATCAAAAGGTGATTGCACCAACATAGACTTAGAGTTCCTTTAAATAGGTTATGAGAAGAATTTCTACCGTTTCAATTAATTAGTATAGTATCAAAAGGTTACTTCCATTGTTATATAACCATTTTTCAATTTAAGAAGGTTTTCTCTCATTAATTATACTACCATTAGTCGTTCTATATTTTGTTCTATATTGTCGTTTCAATTTGTGTTAACCCACCAAAATTGAAAGTCTGAATTATAATCACTAACCGCACTAAATTAAATAAGAAGTAACATGAAACTCTGAATTCTAGCAAAACTATAATTTCCCTAAAACAAAAGTTTTAAGACGCTCAATCGTGGGTTCAGAACCTTCCGAGACGGACTCTCTTGATATAACCGGGGCCTCCCATGTATAGTTCTAGCCAAGTCAAAAGGAGCTCTAAATAAATAATTTCTTGGAGGAAATAAAGTACTACATATCATGGACATGGGAGAGGTGATTATTACCCGGTGCTAGCAACTAATACCTGTCTAATTTGGTACCGTGGTTAATAACATTGGAGCAGCGATGCGTTGGGCTCTTAAAATTTTTGCCAAAATTTGAAAAAATCAGAAAGTGGGTTGATACAGATTTATTTCTTAAATCAGTTTTTGTCATTTGATAATTTAACTCCGACGTTCCAATTATTTAATTTGCAATTAGTTGTTAGCCACAAGGCAAGATAGTTTAGTTTTAAATTTAATGACTGATAATAATAGGTTTGTTGCTAATTTAATTCAGTTCATTAAGAGAAATAGGAGAAAAGCGACATGAGACTCAATTTGTTCTAACCATTTTTATTTTTTCATTCAGACCGAGGACTAAAATGAATAGAGTTCGTTCCATCAATCAAGAAAGGACAGTGAACAGGGGTTTCGCAGGATGTGAGTAGTAAAGAAATTTAGATAATAAAGTGTACAGTGGTTTGTTTGTGTATTGTAAGTTAATGTTGGATACATTGATTGATTATAACTAGGACAGTTAAGGAGATAGTTATGGATAATGAGGATAACAAATGTTACTTTTGTAAGCGTCAAAATATCGTACGCGAGAAATTAATCGATATTTAAAGAAGTTAACTTGATAAGGAATATCATCTGCCTGCAGATAATTTAAGTCAATTTTATAAGGATAAGGGAGCCATGTGTCAGTGAATAGTGAGATGGATAACCATTGTCTAGCATAAAGCCGTAAGGTGTCATGTCAGGCCTGTGTGTCACTGGATAATTGCTCAGCTTGGTTATTTCATGATATTCATCTGCATGTTATGGAAATTAGGGATACAATACCGAGGGGCGGTTTGTAATTAAATTAACTTTTGTATTTCAGACTTATGTCAAGAGTAAGTTTTGAATGAGTAAGAATAAACTTTTATTAAAGGAGTATTCATTAAATTTCACGGGGTAATTTGAAGAATTCAGAAATTTAAAGTGGATGATGAGGAATTAGTAAGATTGTAATTCGGATAAGTAGAATAAGTTACTGTTAATCACATTAGCTCATTAGCGTTAAAATAGCGAAAATTTACAGTGAATTAACAACAATACCATTAGAAATAAAGATGTACCTATAAAATTCGTTTAGTTCCTTGGTCTGTCTAGGTGTCCTTAATTAAGTAATTATTTAAGTTAGTTATATAAGTGCTTTACAGATAACGCATCAGAACATAGATGGAACCAAGCCCGCTTCCAGAATATATAAATATTTCACCATGATTGCTGCGTTAGTCACAGACTGTGCTGAACTGAGGAAGACCTGTAAGATTTAGAAGAGGGGGTTTTTTAAAAACTTTATTAGTAGTAGCTTACTTTTGAGGAGAAAATGGGGTTAAATATTGAGACTAACGCCATGAGGGCCGTAGGAGAGCATTTGGCAGTACATTACCCACGTCATTTAAGCAGACCGTTCTGGCAATCTCCCCAATACCGGTTATGTAAGATGGTATTTTAGAACTATTTATTGTATAATAAAAGAAAACTGTTGAAGCTGATGGTGATCAATCACACTATATTTTTTATTTTTTTCAAGTTCACCTACAATGTTCAGTGTTCACCTTTCGTATTTGTAAACATATTTTTATTAACACGTTATTTTTTTTACAAAAGGAAATATTGTTGCAAGGGGCCATAACGCTT